TTTTATTATCTTAATTATAAGAAATTTTAAATATTGTGATAAGACGGATTAAAATAAATAATTGTTAGAATATTCACAATATGACGCAATTACACTATCTTATGTCACATCCATCACACAGAAATAATTCGACTTCATATCATCACAAAAATATAGATTTATGTAACACTATGCTTAATTTTTTTAATCCCACCTGCATACCAAAAGAATCCACTTGGGAAGGGTTAATACTAATGTGTGAACAAACGAATTTTTCAAAAATTATTTATTTTCATAAACATGTAGCAATTGATAATTATAAAAAAATAAAGTAATTTATTTAATCACTTCTTTAAAAGTCTGTAATTTTTTGTTGTTTTTATGGGAGAATGGTTTTTGCAAAAGAACGTTAATATTTTTCTCAGATTTTTTGTCGAATGGCAGTGAGGCAGTAAAACTCACGGTATATCAGGGGAGTGGTGTATTAAATTCCTTCCTATATAATTTTCTCCAGCATTCATTTTCTTAGGTTATGGGCATGTGGTGGGCTCCTGTGGACAGAGTGGAGACCTTTCTGACCAGCTGAATGACTGTAAGCTTTGCCCCATGGAGTTTGTTTATAATTCTATAGCATGTGATAAACATTATGTAACATTATTACTTTACCTGCGTTATGAGGTAGCTGGAGGTGGGTGGTATTTCACCTTATACCCAGTAAATGTGACAGTATCTGATTAAGTATCCACATGCATCAAACCTGGGTCACTGTTTTCTTAGTAGATTCACATCGCAATTCAAATAATTTCTAAATAACATAATTAGGAGAAAGCCAATGCAATTCATAACAGAACTGTGTTCTATGCTTCTGTGATTATTGAGGACTGCAGTGGAACCCAGTTTAAAATTTTTACTTGTTCAAGGTTCAATTAAGTGACTGGACATTAGTAATGAATATTAAACTTTTTCCATTTAACTCTTTTCTCAGCTTAGTGTTCAAGACAATCTTAAGAAGGTTGGTTTGAAAATAAATGTGAAGCCCATGTTCTTGTCTTATCAGACTGCAGCACAATATAATTGTAGAAAGGTAGGAAATAAATCCTTAAAAAATGCCAAGTTAAAACATTTGGAAAGGACATTAAAGAACCAAAATTGCATTGACGAAGGAAGTAAGATGAGATTAAACTTAAAGAATGCTTGTTACCATTCAGTTCAGAATCTTTTGTCTTTCCATCTGCAGTCTAAAAATGTAGCTATCCTCCTTATATTAATCAGTGCAAAAAGGAATTTATGTAGGGTGCATCTTACTGTATGGGTAACATTTAAATAAATGTGATAAGATAAATCCATTCAGAAATATCTGTATTTTTATATAACCAACAATAATAGATCAATATGAACTTCCTCACATATTCAATTAGGGTACCACTGATAAATATACTGAAGATATCAGTGAAAAAGACATTCCATTGAAATGTTTAAAAATCTCATCACTTCAAAATTAGCCAACCACTCATAATAGTAATACACTAAAACTATGGATCACAGATGGAAACATCTAGTTCATGCCATAAAATAATAACTACAAGCAGGCATTATGGGCATGACTGTAACAATGACTTGCAACATTAATATATGGTGCTTGTTATTATTATGGTAATGAATATAAAACAAAAATAAAGAGTTCTTTACTCTGGAATTGTCTTCCAAATTCATGTCTCACCACAACAAATTTAAAAGATAATTCCAACAAAGCTTTGGTTTTGGAAGCTTATACTTAAAAAAACAAAAACACAACAAGAATAGGTTGAAACTAAAAATGAGGCACATAACAAGAATGGTAGACTATGCAACACAATGTACTGCATAATGAGATTCATAGCCCTACCGACTGGTAAAATAAGGGTACTTAATCTGTAACAATCTGATTATATAAATCACAATAAAATACAGCAACTGAAACATTTAACATCAGAAGACGATTGTTTGTCATCTTTCTTCTCTTGTTTACAATCAACTGGAGCGTCAATGACAGAACCACATGCACTTGATATGGAATTATTTTGCTCTGTATGTGGTTCCTGCTTTAAAGCTGATTTCTCACAACTTTCAAACAGTCCATTAGGGGAAACTGTCAAATCTTCAATATTGCATGAACTGGTTATATTTCCACAGCTAAGTGTCCGTAACACAGTGAACAGACAAGGCACTTGTTTCTCCAGGATTCTGGACGAGTAGATGTTGACTGGTACAGACACACTTCGAAAGAGATTTTTAAGTGAAGAATTATGTACCTTCACTGGTTCATTCTTGAATTTGGATATCATGTTACTCATAGGTAGAAGTCTGCTTATTACAAATACCTTATTACAAGGCAACATCCTATCTTCTGAAGTGTGGTTTTGGGGCTGTTCTTTACAGTTATTACAAGATCTTAGTTTATGATTTTCAATAGAATTAGTAGATTCTGAGGACAAAACAGATTTATTAACTGCTAAAAAATATCTTATTTTATCATTAGATTCAGATATAGGAAATGGTGATTTGTTTGTAGCATGCATATTAGTCATTACAGGATTAGAGGAACCCGGATTTGATGTTTCATGACTGAGTGAATGACCCAATGCTGCTGATTTATTGCATTCAGCAATGCAAGAGTGCACTTTGTGGAAGGAATGTGGGTATTTGGTATCAGTATGGCTCTCAACTTCTAACGCTGACTGCGTCATTCCAGGATTTAAAATAAATGAACTTTCACAAGGCGATAATGAAGCAAACTTTTGTGCCATTTCCACAATTGTGTCAGACTTAATTTCTGTTTCTAATACCAAAGCAGGGATATTCTGGCTTAGAACTTGACTATCAATATTATCATCATCACCACGATGATCCTGACATAATGGTAACATATCTTGTGCTTCTGTAGAAAAACCTGATATAATTTGAACTGATTTATTATTGCCCTTTACCTGAGAATTATTTTGTACTCTTCCTGCACTACAACTCAGTGCTGCAAACTGGTCTGTCTCTCTGCATTCAGCATTTGCACTGAGAGTAACCAATTTATTACTTTTGTTGGTATTATTATGTACATTATCACAAAAACACAGAGTTTTTGACACTGGAACCTCCTCTGACTTAACTGCCTTTACAGCCTTATTATATGAAATAGAACACCTGTCCAAGCTTGAATATGATTCACATTTTTCTTCAATTATATCAGGTACCTGAAACTGACTGGTACTATCAGAGGCAACTGATTCTTGTTTGCTTACTTCATCTTCAGTAGCATGAGACGGGATGAGAACAGAGTCCCTGTTCTTACTAAAGTCTCCAATTTGCATAACTTCCATACTGGAAGAGGAAAATATCTTCCTACAACTTCCCAAAAGTAACTTCTCAGTGAGCAATAAAGTTTCATTTTTGTATTGAGAACCAATCTGCTGCATTTCTTGACTGTCTGATCTTACATTTTTTCCAGTTTCTTCTTCTTTACAACTATTGCATATACTCACAGCATCCTTCTTGTCATCTACACGTAACTCTTCATCTGAACTATCAGACTGTTCTACAGAATCCGATACTACGAAGTCCCAGCCGTATATTTTGTCTTTCGTACTCGGTGCAGGTCCATATATCTTTAAATTTGCATCACTTTCTCTCTCATAATCATCTGGAAATTCAAATTGGGGTATCATGGAGGGAGTGGGAGAGGATGATGGTGTCTCCATGCTCTCTGGAGTATAAGGGTCATGCAACAATGAAGCGTGCGCTGAGGGTGGCAGTAACAAATGGCTGTCACTTCCAGCAGCTACAGGAGTAACTGTCGTGCAACGAGCAGCAAGCAGCATGGAGGAGAGGGCAGCATGATCTAATTTGCTGCTATGCTGAGTGTGACTCTTTGGCCACTGAGGGGGTGAGACACGTGCATCAGCAGGCAGGTACAGGCCAAAGCATGGAGAAGATTTGGTGTTGCAGCAGCAAGGAACCATACCTGCATCCGAGTCCAGGCTCACCTTCAAGTACACTGGCTGAAAAAGATATGGCTGCATTTAATTGAAATATAATGAAATATTACCACCAATATCACAAAACACTTTAATAGATCAAGGATTCATGAGTTCATACCAACACAAAATCAGAAGTGGTTCCTGTAACCATCTATGGAAGGAAGTCATATATGTAATGAGTTAAAAGATGCATGCTATGGCATCATAATATGCAATATTTACCCAGAAATTAAATATGAACAGGATGTTAGAGGTATGCAGATGCATAACAGTGTTTTTCCTTAAAGAATGATAACAGATGGGCAGCAAGGCATTGTGGAAGTTATTCTTAGAAAGTCTTTATTGGTATCTTGGATTTCTGACCACTTGATTCTGGGTGGTTAGTGTTGCCTTTGGCTTAAACGTTATCCTTGCAACTGGCTTTGAGCTACAGAACAGCCCCTGCTTATATTTACCATATAAGCACTTATTTTTTAAAGTGTATATAGTATATAATCACCTATTCAGGCCTGTTCTTAGTTCAAGGTTTATAAGATAAATGAAAAAGGGGAGACCACCCATTAGTTCACAAGAACTTTTCACATCTGAGACTGCACAATAAGGTATGATACTGATGGCCCACACTAAAAATTGTCAGTTTAATTCAGTTTTTGTCCATATTGGTCCAATATAATCCCTATTTTACTTGAGAGTCAAACCTAACTTCATAACTTCTCAAACTGACTCTTCAAGTAAAAATACTAACATAACATAAAATTAAAGATCTTACTCAGATTTATATTCAGTATAGTGAGTATTTACTTAAGTACTGCAGTGCAATTGGCACTGCAATAATGCAATAACTTGAACCTGGAATAAATAAATATCAAGGTCAATGAGGTATGAAGAATCATAAAGAAAACATACGATATCTGTACTCCAGTGGGATACAATTTCCCACTCTCGTTCATTTTCAAATGAATCCAGCTTACCAACTTCTGCTAACAAAATACATATAACTGACCTTTCTTCTGTTTGTGTACCTTTAGACATTAATTATTTTCTGATAATATTTTACTCTCTTATTGTTACTGTCTCATCAAGTTTCAGGCTCTTATAAATATATCCCCCCCCCAAATCCATGCACATTATGCACTGGAACAATGGACTTTTGTTACCTACAGCGCCCTTAGATTTGGGGATGAGAAACAAAATTGTAGCAAATTAAAGTTCAGCCTGGATTAAAATGCACAAACGCAAAAATTATTTTAAAAATAATACTAATAACCTTGTAGGGAATTAGTCACTAGTAAACTTATGTTGCTATTAGTAGAGATGCGCAAACAATGTGAAATTAGAACCTCACATGTGCTCAGTTTTGTATCAGTTTAAAGTCTGAAGAGAAACATCAATTCTCACTGCTCATCTATTCAAATAAATTTCAAATCTGCCTTGTAAAACTCAAGTCATTTCATACCCTGATTTCTCATATGGCACTGATATGAAATTTGCATCCGTGTACTGTGCACAGCATGGGCATTGGTAGACAAAATACTGTAAACATTTGATGTTCAATGCCACATTTCAAAACTCTGTTAAAAAAATGGGTGTGTGCACATCCCTACTTATCACATACCATTGAAAATGAGTTAAAACTGGAAGGTAAACTATCTTCAAACGTTAACAGATATAAATATATATAATACATATAATAAAACTATAACATGAACAAAAAGCACCAAATAATGAAATTAGCATCTATTCACAATTTCCAGTAGCTGCTACCAAAATCAGCGTTATGCAAGAACAGTCAAGTGTGCATGAGTGTTAATGTTTATACCTGCTGGTGTTTCCATCATGTATGAAGTGAAAGCCCAGGTAAACAGGCTGCATGTGTGAAGTAAAGAAACAGAACAACGTAAAGCTCCTTCTCAACATTCTCATACAAATAAAAGATGGTGTATTCATAAAAACAAGGAAGTAATGACAGTATGTAAAAAATAAAGCTGCTGTACACAGTATGCAATATAGACACAGAGTGAGACAGCTAATGGACATAAATGTGTTATCCATAAAATGTGAATAACAGTTCAGAGCTGCAGTAAGTACTATATTATTACCATATTTAAGTTTTAATTCTACATCTTCATTTTTCTTCCCCCCCCCCCCC